AGAGAGGAAGGGAGAGGGAGAGAGAGATAGAAATATCAATGATAAGAATCATTGATTGGATGCCTCCTGCATGGCCCCTACTAGAGTTCGAGCCCGAAACCTCGGCATGTGCCCTGACAGGCAATCGAACCATGATCTCCTGGTTCACAGGTCACCGCTCAACCACTGAGGCACGCCGGCTGGGCTAAAAACGTTTTATCTTAAACTTCTCACTGGGTCATTCTTTAGCAGTTTTACATTTTTGAAATTATGTTTTTTACAGCTTTTACATTTTCCGTCTATGAGCTGACTGTTCTTCTTGCTTCCTAGGTCGGGGACTCCACAGCGTTATTTGAAGAAGGGTAAGGGTGACACAGCTTCACTCCTTCCTTTACCGGAGCCTCTTCCTCCTTGACCGAATCTTCCTACAGCACAGGACATACAGGTATGTCACCAGGAAGTTTTAATTGAATCAAATAGATCTTTATTTTGCTGTTACTTGTTCACTTTGCATAAAAATAATTAAATTCAAAAGCACCAAGACCTTGCTCATTTTTGGCTCGAGCAGTTTCATCTGTAACAGATGTATCTAAGTATCTTCTCTGTGCGTGGCAGGGTATTTTGGCCTGTCTCTCACCTCATTTTTATTTTTTAAAACCAGCATTAAACTTTGGGGATAATAGACCTTACTATTCTGTGTAGTTGCCCAGTAATGATTGATGAGTTTGAAACCAAGGACAGGGGCAGGCACCTCTGCCTCATTAGGCCCACCCTTCCCTAGAAGGACGCCGGTTGCGGTAGGGTGCCTGCCAGTGGCTGGGGACCGAAACCCTCCTTCGCTGAGCACTGCGTCTTTTCATGGCGTAAACTGCGCGCCCCAACCCTCTTCCTCTAGGAGTTTGAAAAGAAACAAAGTACCCTGTGTTCTAATCTCTAATTTGTGATTGAGTGGCATTTTATATTTGAAATTAAGAACTCTTTAATATGTTAAAACATTAAAATGAATATAAAATGGGTTTGAAATGTTTGCATCCAAAGTGATATTTCATGCATAGCTATTTTTGATAAGTTCATAAATACCCAGAGAACTGCTATTTAAAATTTTATTCGTAATCACAGTGCCATTCAATTTTCCCCAATAGTCTCAATTTTTTTTAGTTTGTTTGAAGCAGGGTCCAAACAATTTCAGTTAGCTGATAGGTCGCCATCTCAATCAGTTGATTGCTCCTCCCTGCACTATTTCTCCTTGCAGTTTCTTTGTTGGAAAATCCAGGCTGATCATTCTGTATGTAGTCAGAGGTTTCTCTGTTTTGACTTTTGCCATTTCCATAGAACACGTCCTTCTGTCCCCTGTGAAATGGCAGGTCGGTCTAGAGGCCCCGTCCCATTCCAGGCCAGGTGTTGCACAAGGGTGCCCCAGAGGTGGTGGTACAGGCTGGCTGCTACACACCTGCAGGCACATCTGCTTGTGGCAGCAGGGCCAGTTGGGGCCTGGACTCACAGTGATCAGGGCTGCAGCATGACATTATAAATGTAGACTCTGCCCTGATTAACTGAGATACTTCTGTAGAGAGAAATTCCCCTCATTAACTCCTTGGTTATCGTAAGGGACAGGCCCAATAGGGAAGGCATTCTTTCTCTTTATTGGCTCTCAGTGTAATGGGGTGGCTCCATAGCCATCGCACAAGTGGCCAGAGATTAGTTTATGCGTCTTTGTAAACATAAGACTGTAAACGTGTGATGTGTTCTAATTCATTGTGGTAATAATAATTTTTGTGCTTGCTAAAATGGTGCTGCTTCTGGCCAGCAGAGCCTCTCTGAGCTGACTCCTCCATCCTTGAAGGCGACCCCTAGTCTCCCTCCCCTGCTTTCTGGGAAGATGTTTCAGATTCATTTTGTACATTTTTGCCCCAGACCTGGAATTGGCTGTTTCTCTAAGCCAATTTCCTTTTGTAGAAAATGATATGTTGAGACCACAGTCTGGGTGCCACGGTGCTCGTTGGCCGGGTGCTGGTTATTGTTTCTATGCCTTCCTGTTGGACAGCCAGGAAATACATTTAAGTAAAAATACATTATGAGTTCATATTGTTTTTATTTCAAATTTAGGATCATATGGCTTTCACTTCTTTGATTTCGTATGGATATCTCTTTTCTCTTGTGCTGAAAATCTTGGTTCTTAACATTAGCATCATTACTTATTTGGTTTTGTTTGTTTGTTAATTCTCACCTGAGGATATTTTTTCCATTGCTTTTCGGGGGGGGGTGGGAGATCAATGTGAGAGAGACGCATGGATTGGCTGCCTCCCGCATGCACATCAGCCCCGGCCAGGGGATCCAACCTGCAACCCAGGTAACCTGTGACCCTTTGGTGCGAGGGCAGATGCTCTGACTGTGGAGCCACACCCGTCTGAGCAAGGTACTCCATTTTTGCTTTCATGTAAAACAGATATCAGAACTTCCTCAAGAGAAGGAATTGACCGAGCTAATACATATAAAATGCCTAGCATAGTGCCTCGCACATAGTGAGTGCTAAGTAAACACTTTCTGCTATTCTTATTATTCATGTAACTTAAGCTGCCAAGTAGTGACCACTTCCACGCTCGCTGCGTGAACACAGGCACCTGTGCAGTATGACAGGCTGAGTGAGCATGTCTGAGCCCACAGGGCTGGAAGCCCACTGTGTGGATGAGGCCCAGGAAGGGGACGAGCTGGCCTTCGTGAGTGTGTGGAGGAGGGAGAGGCTCTGGAGCAGCACCTGAGCGGCTCCTGCCCTGAGACCACAGGTGGAAATTGGAGAGTCTGAAACAGATGGGTATATAGCCGTGTCCTTTTTAATCTCATGCTTTATCCCAAACATTGATTTAAATATTGTAATCCACTCCTTCATATGGCTGGCGTTTGTGCTTCTTGCTCATATTTTCCAGTAAACTTGATGCTCCAGGAGCAGGAACCTTATTACCTGCAGCTCTGGCCCCAGCACAGCCTCAGGGCAGCAGCCACCTGGACCACCTGCCTGCTCTGTGTTGTTGTCAATGGACTGAACCCTCTGAGCCCTTCCTGTCCAGATGGCTGGACTTTGGCCCTGGGCCAACACAGGCCCAGCATCTTTGCATATAGTCCTGGTTGAATGAATGCTTTTAAAAAGTCCTAAATCATATGAACCAAGGGATATTGGCCATGCTGGGCCTCAGATAGCTATTGTTTCCTAAAGGATTTCCGCCCAAGTTTTTACACTATGGTTTAATCAGTATACCACGGTTTTCCTAGCTGTGTGCCTGCATCAGTCTGTCTGTTCCTGTCTCTCTGTCTCTCCTGAGCAGGGCTTTTGACATGTGATTATGATCTGACTGTTTGTCTGGATAAGAATCTGGTCTCCTCTTGTCTTATTGTCCCCATGGACAGTTAGCCATCTGCCCTCCCTGGGCAGAGCGTTTAGGTCAGGGTCAGGACGGGAGTCAGTGTGCCGGGATGCCTGCGTAAACGCGGATGGCCGGAGACTCATCCCAGGCACACCTGTCTGCTGCCGGTGTCCTCCTTCTCCCTTTGGGGCATCACTGGATGAGCCTTTTTACTCCCCTGCGGGGCTGGATGCTTTCCACATCCATGTGTGTTTAGTGCTTTCTTGCTGGCAGGAGCCATTTTCTTTGTTTATCTGACGCTTCCCTTTTTTGGTTTTCCCCGGGCTTTCCCATCTTGGAACACCCTTTGTCAGCACAAGTGCTTTTGTTTCCAGTTTCTAATCTCCAAGTAAAATGTGGCTTAAGTGAAACCACAGAATCTGGGAACATACAAGTCATTAGAGGAGAGCGGAGGCCCCCAGTCCAGCTCTGTGCTAGTCATGAGTGCAGCTCTGCCTCCGCTGTGGGAGAGGGGCCTCCTGAGCAGCTGGCTGGAAACCAACGTTTCATGGAGCCATTCCTCAAATAGGGTTCTTTTCCCATTTCAGTGAAAATACGGCCTCAAAATATAATAAATTCATGCCTACACGTGTAGCAAACAGTACATAATGTAACAACAGTAATAATTCTGCTCAAAGGAAACTGCAGAATCAGAGTTTCAAGTACTGAGAATGCCAGATGCAGGGCAGGCAGGCCTGGTCCTCGGGGCCCAGGACACCAACTTAAGGGCTGCTGCTGCTCTCTGGTGGCTCTGGTCCTGGCTGCTCTTCAGCCCCTGTGCCCTGACTCGGTTCCTGACTCAGTACCCTGACTTGGGTGCCCTGACTCGGATGCCTTGACTCAGTGCCCTGACTCGGTGCCCTAACTCAGGGTGCCCGGACTTGGATGCATTGACTCAGTGCCCGGACTCAGATGCATTGACTCAGTGCCCTGACTTGGGTGCCCTGACTTGGGTGCCTTGACTCAGGTGCCATTTTCAGTCATATGCTTCTCCTCCGTCGTTTCCTTGCACTCTTGTTGCTTAGTGTGTGTGCTGTTACTGCTCAGCAGGACCTTTTTCTTTGTGTGTGTGGGAGCAAACGCCCTCTTCCCAAGCCCGGTGCTAAGGTGAGAGTGAAAGGTGAGGCGTCACCGCAGCCCCGGTTCCACTGCTCACAGGGCCCACTGTCCTAACCAGAGGCACATGTGTCAGTCTCTGGGCCTCATAACCTCCAAGCTGCTTCCTTAGATCAGGCTGCTAAACACGAGCCTGTGAGTCCCTGAAAGTCACTCCCCGCACTGCCTCTTTAGTGCATCTGACTGAGCTCGCGTAGTTTCTCTCCCAACACAGTCATTACAAATATTACAGAATTTCAGTAGCCTGCAGTTGTCACATCTAAACTTTAGGGGTAAGGTAAAATTTAACTATTTTTATGCCCATGTATAAGCAAGTGAAATAAGGTATTCATATTTAAATCAAGAAATCTAGTCCAAGGTTTCCACAGTCCTCCAATTTGGAAGGTTCCAGAGATGCAATTTCACTGATTTACTGCCACTGCCCCCACACGGGCCACACGTGGACTCCTGGCCCAGCTACCTACTGCTTGGCGTGAATGACCAGACTTAGCTGCAGATTAGAAGTTACCATCGCAGATATTTTAGAAAAACTTAGCATTTTAATTTATGTTTATTTTAGAGAATTATAATAAGAACCAAGGAACTTCCATTTTAATAGTGGTTTTTAGTATGAGGTTATGACCCGGTACTAGCTTTTGTAAGTGTACTCACAGTAGGTGCCATTGTTCCAGCCCAGGATCAAGGTGGACTGCAGGGGCGTCCATTATCACCCACACAGGCACTCACTGTGGTCCACGTCTGGTGTCACTTCTCTTTATTTCTTTGCATTTAATTTAAAACATTATTTCCTCATTGCCTTCTGATATCTTTACTCCCCTCCAATTTTTCCATTAAAATACATACAATGATGAAATTCTTTGGCTCTAAATATGGACAGAACTGTATTTATTATATCAGGTTCCAATGTGTCAAATGTTTGGGTTTTTAAAAA